GTATCGCGACGCTAAAGCCTGATCTATAATGTGTTCTGTACGTCTAGAAACATTGTATTTTGTAGTCATTGAATATGTTTATAAAATTTTTGCAAATTGATAAATTGTATATTATATCGTACGTTATCGACAAATTTCTTAAGCGTTTTGATTCGTTTATATAAAATAGTATATTCCTAGATGCAGAGAACACACTGTAGATTAAGCCTAAAAGAAACAGTTTTGGAAAGTATTAAGATAAAGTTGGAAAAGTGCTGTTGGCATCATGTAATTACATTTTTTTTAATTAATTGATTCGTCTCATTATTCTGTACATTAAGGTGAGATTATATTACTGTCTCTTTCGAGATATTTTATATTTTAAATATCTCGCAAATTCTTTCCGTTTCTTTATAATTTTATCTGAGTGCTTTTATCTTAATACTTTTATATGCAGAATATCTAGATTATCCTAAGGGATCATGGTCATTATTATACAATTTCATAAAAAGAAATTGAATTGCTCTTGAAATCGTTGAAATCTTTCTCATGTCTCCACGCGCAAGAAAAGTATTGCCACCACGTTACGTGCGCGAAAACGAAAAATTTACCTTTAATGTTTTATTACTTGGAATCAACGAAGATATTTAAAGTGCTTAATCACTTAGCATTTACGTTATTTGGTCATTAAATTTACAAAAATCAAAGTTTTTATTTGTTTTCTTATATCTTGACCATCAAAACCATTATTGGATAATAAATATATTTTATGTAAAGCCATGTAAAATATAAAAATAATATTATAACTTTGATTGCATACACTCGTGAGTGTAAAAAATGTACGGTATCTCCAACTCAGATATCTTTGAAGAGTTATTTGATTCTTTAAGATAAATAAACACTAAAACTACTGTTTCAAGTAATGTTAGATAGTGCTTATATTAACAGTATTTACATTTTGCTTAGTTATGAAGATGGCGCAAAAGTTTGGAAAGTCGCAACAATCTCTCTCATTATTTTCATTGAGATAAAGTCAACTCTAAATTGTTCAGAGACTCTATTGTTAAAAAAAATTTGATAACACATTTTAGAATGTGCCATCGATTTCTTTATGTCTTGTCGAATCACTTTTTCCGTATAAAAATTAAAATTTTATGGCTAACAAGAAGAGACCATTAGATACGATTTTTCCATCGGTTTGTCGCGGTCAACCAAACGACACGCTTTAGATAATTTTGATGACGTGATTAAAGAATTATTTCTTGTAGATAATTATATCTTGCATAAAGAACAATGTTGACAATACTATTAACTTGATCGAATTATAGAGGTAAGTCCCCTATTATGAGATAGACTCTTAATATGAGATAGTGAGGTTTCTATTAAATTAATAGACATCGTTTATTGAGTCTACCATGAATTTATTGCCCTTGGAGCGAAATCTGCCTAGAGTGGGAAATTCATTGTTAGATTGTGTTTCCGTGGCGAAGAAAAATTATGATTGAATTTAGGCGTTGAAAACCTGCTATCTCCTATTAGAAACCTATCTCATAACTTTCCTCTTTCCCCTACTATTAGATTCATAGTAAAAAAGATAAAATTTTCATATAAAAATATAAACGTCTGTGCTTTAAAGCAACATATAGATTTAAAAATAAATTTTTCCAAGTTAATTCAACTTTAGTATAGTTAATCAATGTAGTGCTAAATTAATAAATGTTTGTGATAATAAATTGAAAATAAGTTAATTGAATTTCAATTTCGATATCTGCATTTAATTACGTCGTTCCATTTTTATCAATAATCTTGAAAATAATGAACTGCAATAGCAGGTGGTTTACCATCATTTCAACATTTGAAATACTTTTGAGCATCGCCATTACATGTCATCTCACCCAAGTTCTCGAGATCTTCCCAATCGAGGGAACCTCCTTATCCCCTTGATAACGATACGTATAACTTTATCGAAGTTCGGTGCTCGGTTGACAGGCGACACAACGCAACGCGATATGCGGATTCCGCGTGACTCACGGATAATTCTTCGATCGGTTTAGCTTGATATCAGCTATTGCGTCGATGACTAATCAAAAAGCCACACATTCGCGCGTTCGTTTCGGTTTCTAGGCATCGCGGTAACGACAAACAGTTTTTTTTCCTAAGAGTAAGACAAGACTCTTTGTAAATTTTCATCGTACGTCTTGCGATGATTATTCGAAGCTGCGCACTTTGCATATCTATATTTATTTTCGATATTAATTGAAAACAGGTGTCCAAACAGCAAAATACCAAAACTCTTCGCTATTAGTGATTAAAAAAAAGATACTATGTTAGTTATATGATTAGGTATAATGGTTCGAGATAGATCCATAGAGAAAGAAAAATTTAATTTTGCGGAACAGTTTGTGTAAACGCGGAGTGTTTGCAGAAAGTAAAAATATTGGTTGAGAATACAAAATATCGTTCGTTGCAAATAATTTTATGCCGAGTCTCTGCAAGTTATTTTGCATTTTAGTAATAATTTTGCTTCGATAGCAATGTATATTTACCTTAACGGCAGATTAAATTTGCTTTTAGAAGCGAATCCGTGTTTCAAAACGAAGTTATTCAATAACAGATTACATTTCTCGTTCCATAATTTTCACCGTATCAAGTAATTGATTATGATTTAGCGAAGTCTTCACATCAAGTATCCAATAACAGTTATGATTTTGCTGCCACAGCAAAATCACAACTTTTCTCCCGCGGATATAATTTCTAGTTATTACACAGAGAAGTGAGAGAAAATAGAGATTTGAAAAAAATTTAGTATATTTTCGCAAAGTTAGGCATTTGATTTAATTCACAACATGATTGTGACTATCGCATATATTTATTTTGTCAATTTTATTAAGGCAAGATCATTGATGGATCCGAATTTCACATTATCATTGAGAAATTAGTCTTATCGTTGAGAAACTGCTCTTACCACTGAGCTACTCGGACCTCATGCCTAATGCCAATGCCATTGATGGATTATTCATCATCTTGTAACGGTCTACCTTTTTATGCAGGGATTAGCTTGTCGGAAAAAATAGTTGGCCGGGTCAATTGCCGATCTTGCCTTAGTTGGCCGGATCCATCAATGGTCTTGCCTCAGTTAGCCATCTTACCATAAAAACCTTGATAACTTCGAAACGGCTGATTCAAAATGAATTCAACCACAGTGTTTTGGAAAGCTCTCGAGATAAGCTATAAGAATATGCAACAAAAAATAGGGTGTCTAATTTAAGAAATTAATGGTGACCTTCAAGTGACAAGTGAATTTAAGAAATTAATGGTGACCTTCAAAACGACTATGCAAGGTCAAACCAATGGTACCAACTTATAGCCCTTTCGAAACCATAAAACTTATGTCCGACACATTTTTGAAAAAACCTTACATTTTCCGAAATATTCAAGGGTTCCGACCTTTTTCGTACACCCTGTATAATACACGTAACAAGTATATTATAATATATAAAAACATAATTTTACGAAAAAGAATAGATCAAAGATTTCGATGTCATTTGGCGTCAAGTTTCATGTTCTTTAATAATTCTTTCTTTTCTTTCTCTTCGTTTAAATTTCAGACTATAAGTAGAGTACTTGACATCAATATTTCGAGACATTCATACTAATTTTTTCAAAAATAAAATAAATTCAAAGTATCATTTTTACTCGAATTTTATTGCCTTTTTTATGACGTACAATTTTCAAGTTAGTTTTTATTGACATTTTTCTCATTGTTTTTATTGAAATTTTGTAGTTATAAATGTCATAGTATGTAGTTTAATACATATTTAGACAGTGTATGGTTTTAGTATGTTTGTTATTTGTTATTGATATAATTGTAGATGATTTACTGAAACCAGGAGGAATATTGAGAAAAATATAATAATATAATATAAAGTATATAATAAAAATTTAATAAAATATAAATATAATAAAATATAGGATTGAATAATTATTGCATAATTAAAAAACTTTCGACATTTGCGTGATCACGCCTGCTTCGTTGCAGCGCAAGAACTGCGCATTCTTTTTTTTAACATTTAAATACAATTATTTTATATATATAATACGAAACGTGCAGAAAGCAATTTTTAAAGATAAAAATTGATATTTGGTTATTTTCCAATTTCACTAATTACGTCCAAAAATTGTGACACGATAGAACATTTTCAAAGTCGCAATCGTGTTGCGGAACGATAAGTTTGGAACGAATAGTAATTCCTTTCTCTCGGTGCTTTCTTAAATCGAATCATGGTTACGTGGTTTCTCTCCCATTAAACGAATAATCTCTTATACTTCTTCGAATAAACCTGAACTAGCCAAGCTTTCTTTTTCCTCTACATGACTGTAACTTTTCTGTCGTACGCAAGCCCATACAGCATAAATGGTTGCAGTTACATTGCAGAAACATTGCAATCTTGCAGAGACCTTGCAGGGATATAAAATTGCAAACTTTCGATAGCAATATTGCAGCAATGTTTCAAAAATAATAAAAATACTATATTTTCTATTTAAAAATTTTTTCTAATTACGAGAATTTTATAATGTTATTTTCGTTGATACCAATAATACGCGAATTATTAAGTACTTGATCAGTGCGGTGTCGCTCGCAATCTTCATCTATTGCGAAGCGACATGTGTATTGAAAAAGGCCCGGATGCATATGTAATTAGTAAATTCTCTGCTTATGTACAACAACAAATTATTCCAAAAATATTGCACTGCAACATTGCTATAATGTTGCACTGCAATCTCTCTGAGGACGGACATTTCAACGTTGCTGCAATCCTCCAGAAACATTGCAGCAATGTTGCGCAACGTTGGTGCAATATTGCAATCTTGCAATGTAACATTTCTGCAATCTTCCTGCGATCTTTCTGTGCTGTGTGGGAGAGCGAAAAAAAAAAACGGATGAAAAATCGAGGTGTAGGCACCAATGGCGTCTCGTAGCCGCTAAACTAACCCGCGCTTAATCTTGCTTTCTGTTACAGTAACCTCTGGGACCCAACACAAATATCTAATATTAATAATAAACGATACGATCGATTATTTTAATGAACAGCGAATGGAACATGCGCCATGCCGCACGAGTTGCCCAGGAACTGCCGCACGCCCTGCCGCGCGACACACGATGAAGAGATGCAGCAGCAGCAGCAGCCGCAGCAACAGCAGCAGCAGCAGCAACAACAACAACAACAACAACAATAATAACAACAACAGAACACATAGGCCGAGAACAGCGACTATCATTACTGCTCCAGTCATCATTCTCTCCTCCTCGATCTTCATTTCTTCGACGCGACGTAGAGAGCGGGATGGAAGGCACGCGCGCGAGTTCATGCCAAGTACACGCGCGCACCATACGTAAACAACGACGCGATCTCCCCCCTCCCCTTTCTCTCCCTAGTCCGTCCCTTTTCCCGCGCTGTCTATCGCCACACTCGTGCATGCCGTTTGCGCGAACAAAACCCATGTTCCTCTCCTCTCCCTTCCCACCTCCGCCCCTTCCTCCTCCTCCTCATAGTCGTACACGTATACGTACTTAAGCATCTACGCGCGAATCCCGTAGGACACGCGTCTCTCGCATGTACCGTCGCGTCGCGTGCATCGTCCGCTGCGACGTCGCGGCGTCGAGCGTCGGAGATCGGGGGGGGGGGAGGGGGAGGAGGGAGACTTAGGCGCTTATCGATAGCATCGATACCCGACGTCGTACATTGCCACGTCTGCTCTCTATCTGCTTTCAACTCCGCTCGCCCCCTCCCCCGCCCTCCGTCGGAACATTATTCGCGCGCGAGAGTTTCGGTGACTGTGTGACGCGCGGGACGCGAGAGACCGTGGGATCTGAGATGCCGACGTGCGGAGGGAATAGATGGAGCGCGTGCGGCTTCGACGATCGACCGATACCGAGCCTCGTCATCCGCGTCTCTGGCAACCGCGTCACGGGACGTCACCGACGTCGTGGATCCCGATGACGTCGCGGGGCTTGCGAGCGATGCGCTCACGCGCGCGCGCGCGCCCGCACGCACGCACGCTGGCACGCACGCACGCACGCACAGTTCTTCGACTGGGAGAGCGAGAATGCGCGAGGGTGCGAAAAAGCACAGCGGATTGTGACGCGTGTGAGGGCCAAATCAGACTAGCAATTGTCGACACGGATTGGATTGGGATTCGCGATTGTCTTCTAGCCAATGAGAGCAAAGCAGCCATTTATTTGACTCTCATTGGCTAGAGGTCAATCGTCAATCGCCAATCTCAATCCGATCCGAGTTTGCAATTGCTAGTCTGATTCGGCCTTCACGCAGTTCCCTCGCGACGACGACCGGCAATACGATTCGTCGGGATTTGCGTCCGGCGTCTGACATCAGCGCGTCTCTGACCCGCGGGAAGGCAGAGCGAGTCGCGATGCGTCGCGATTCGTGACGCACACGACATCGAGCGACCCGACGTCGCATCGTCCGCCGCTTCTCGCGTCGCACGCGCACGGCGTGTTCTCCGGAAAAGCAGGAGCGCCGGCCGCTTCCGCGCGAGGAATCGGTTCTTAGGACCGAATCCATTGGAGATTTAATTGCCTCGTTGTCATTTAAAACACGTACGAGATACAGTACGATATACGCGGAAGCGATCGATCTCGTTTTGCATCGTGTGTTTAACACACACTCCAAGTGCGCACAGTCGCTTCGTTCACGCACCAGCTTTACGCGTGCACGGAGAAAGACGTAGTAATGATCGATCGTCGGATATCAGGAGAGGAAGAGAGAGAGAGAGGGGAGAGAGAGAGAGAGAGAGAGAGAGAGAGAGAGAGAGAGAGAGAGAAATAATGATAATAAATAATGCTAAACTGTTGTGTGTTAGGCTTACTATCTTTTTCGTAAGGCACGAAAGAATGCGTGCGCGCGAGGTAGGGAGAGGAAGCGAAGATTGAGAGAGCGAGAGAGCGAGAGAGCGAGAGAGCGAGAGAGCGAGCGAGAGAGAGAGAGAGAGAGAGAGAGAGAGAGAGAGAGAGAGAGAGAGAGAGAGAGAGAGAGAGAGAACGAACGCGACAAGGTAAGCGAGAGGTATGATGATGACGACGATAACGATAGCGGCGGCGATAACAATAACGATGATGACGATGATGAAATGATGACGTTGCGGGCGAGCATGCGGCAGCGGGTGATACGGCATGGATTGGCCGCAATCCCGGCCGTCTCCCCCATTCCCCCCCAAGAATCGATACGGTCCTTTTAGCTATTTACTGTCCTTATTATTGCTATGTGTAAGAAGAATAAAACAAAATGGCGAACGATGTGTCATAAACTGCTGAGATTTTTATCGACAAGACGGCGAGAGAGAAAGAGAGCGAGAGTGTGTGCGAGTGAAAGGGAGAGAGAGAAAGAGAGAGAGCGCGAGAGAGAGAGAGAGAGAGAGAGAGAGGGGAAGAGAGATATGCATAAAAAAGAACACATCCACATCAGCGTATATATGAACATACATATATACACACATACATACACATACATGTATACACACATACATACATATACACGTATTGCCTCATTTGCAAGTGCATGCGAGAATAAGAGAAAAAAAAGGAATTTTACACGGCAGATGCATTCGCAGGTATATCAATAGCGGGATTTCTCGAAGGGGGTCCATCGAACGAGCCTAATTTGCGCGAGACGTTCGAGCGGAAACAGCAGCGATAATAAGTGAGTGAAGAGACATAAATCCTTTTCTCGATTAGTTTATATATTTGTGTAGCAAACGGCGGCCTGGTCTCGATATGCGTTGTACGAGAATGCTGAAATGTTAATACTTAATGTTTCGCGATTATTAGATATCTCACTGTTTTATATTAAATATTAATATAAAAATATATTAAATTCTGATCAGTTTGATATACTTACAAGACCATCCTGTTTTTTAATGGAAAGAGAGTGAGAGGGAGGGGTGGGAAGGCGAGGAGAAAGGGGCGGTGCTCGACTCTTCCGGCTGCGGCGGCGGATGATGTGCGATCGAATTGACGGAAGAGCTTCCGAAGCTTGCATCCTCGGGGTGTCTTCGGCAGCGGTTGAATAGCAATTTGGCGCGTGGTATTCGCGACTAGTGTTTATCGCAGCCGTTGTTGAGATTGCCTAATCGTTCTTCTAATCGGCGCTTTCACCCGCTCGTTGCCCCCTTATCTCCGTTCGGCGCGCGAACGGCGTCGGCCTCGCGCGTGGTCGCGTCATCTTATCTCTCGGATTCGCGTCCTGCCTCCGCATCCTTTACGGATCGGCTTCCGGCTCGCCGGATGAGGAAGCCGACGCTCGGCGAGACTCGCGGTTTTGCGCGCACGAGACACTCGACTGTCGAGATTGAGAGATGAAAACTCATTTTTCACGAGAAGAAGAGGGAACAGAGTCGAGCGAACGGAGAAAGTGAGTCTCTCGTCTCCCTTACGTCGAAAATGTATACGTGGAAGTGCGATAGCGACGGTGTACCTGCGAATTCCTGCCCGTATATCTGAGATTTCCGTGTCAGCTGCGCGCGCGCATTTATTTGATGCATGGTGGAAGCATGAAACACGCACATACGCACACGCATACACACGCATACACACACATACACACACGTACACGTACACGTATCGTCGTGGACAGAATGGTTGCAACACTTTTTTTTTATATAAATGAGTTTAGGAACCTGTACTTGGATTCAGAATGAGAACCAAGTGCTACACGGAGAGAATTTTCTCTTAAAAGAACCCCGCACTAATCATATAGGAAATTGGATCTCTGTTAAATTGGCTAGTTTTCACATATGTTGTAGCTTATGACCTGCTGAACAAAAAATATAATGGGCTCAAACTTAAATAATGGCTAGTTCCTGAGCTACAGCCAGTCGAACATGGAAAATTTGGGCTCCGCGGGTCTTGTTTGGAAATACTTTGTGTAATTGTAGGACAACATGGCACTTTGAACAACCTTATGAGAAATGAAAACGGCGAGGGAAGAAAGCCAACGCGAGCCAATAAGCACTGGAGCACAGTGCTTGGTTTTAGTGTAGAAAAAGAATTCTATTCTTGCAAAAGTAAAGTTCGAAGGCCAATCCAAGCCAATAAGCGTGGAACATAATGCTTGGTTTCAGCGTAGAAAATTCCGTTCCTTTACCTCAAACTTTACTTTTGAAGTAAAGGGATATAATTTTTGTTTTACACCAAAACCAAGCGTTCCAGTGCTCGTTGGCTCGCACTGGCCGTCTACCCTCACCGTTTTCATTTTTCTCTTTTCGAGCCTTCACCACTCATCTTAGCTTTACAACAACTTCCTGAAATTTCACCATACATTTTTCTAGTATAGAGATCTTCAAAGTACTATGTTGTTTCACGACGACATAATTTTCAGGGTAAATTTTAAGAGAAAATTCTTCCCGCGTACCTTTAAACTGCTACTGTACTATGCTACATACTGTGTACGGAAATTTGACAATATCATCAATTATCCATTGTGCATGGGCGAAGATAATAGTTCTCGTTCTGAATCTAAATGCGCGTTCCTAAGTTTATTTAAAGAAACGTGTTGCAACTATACATCCACGACCAATCAAGACAAGTCACATACGTTCACGTACACACGATACCGCTACCAATTATTACTACTCTACTATTACTCTACTCTACTGCTACTATTACTACTATAATTGGATGCTTGTCGATTCGTCTGACGTCAAGCAGCGGCCCAAACTACTATGTACGATTTTTATTGATAACAAAGGAAAGAATAAATATTGAAATAATAATTGTAATAAAAAAGAGAGAGAGAGAGAGAGAGAGAGAGAGAGATAAAAAAAGGAAGGCCGAACGAGAGAGACTTCTAGACGCTTGTCCGAGGCACAATCGCGGTATCAATCTTGCTCTTCCGCGGCTCCGCACTTTCTGTGTCTCTTCGTATCAAGGAGAGTTTGACATTGCACGCACGTTCCTTTCTTCTCCGTGACAGTCTCGCCAATATCGATCAGCTTCAATTGATTTATTGTCTTTTTTTAAAGCAAAAGCTTAGAAAAGAGAGCTAAAGATGGTACTTTATTCTTGCTGAGCTGCTTCAAAACGGTTAAAGGCCGATGTAAATTGTTTCCCGCAAAATGAAAACGTAAAGCGAACCTATGCTTATACACTTTGTACCCTTGTCCTTTGTACAATATTTGGTATTTACTTTTGACCCTTTGAAGCATACATTTTTCTATTG